CCCAGCCTGTGGCCCATCCCCCTCTGGTCTGGGTCTTGCTCAGGCACTAGCGGTGGGCCCTCCAAATCCCTGTTTTTCAGGTGAGGACACAATTGGCAGCCAAGCCAGCACTGGAACCAGGGCTCCTGCTTCCTAAGGAGACCCTGGTGCCCTTATCAGGCCATTTCTCACAGCTGCTAATGAGCCCAGTTGGTGCCATAAATAGATAACCACTGCATTGAGAGGCATTATTCACAGTTGCTAGCAAACACCTCTTTTTCACTTTATAGATGCCAGCCCACACCTGACCTCAGGAGCTGCTAAGTGTGTCTCTGGGCTCCGCCCCTAGAGGGCCATTCCCAGGCTGCCCCAGGACTTCCTTATGGCCACTCTTCCCTCACCCCTAAGACCCCACAGGGGCTGATTCTCCTCACACTCCCACTGGTCTCTGCTCTCCCCACAGCCTGTCTCTTCTCTACTTTTCAGGGACTCCTCATGTGACCACTTCCTAGCCCCCTGTTCCTGTTCCTCCCTCATTCTCCCCACATGAAGTCCAGCATCTCTTCTTCAGTAATAACAGCTTTTATTGTTGAGGGCATCTGGGACATCAGCCCCTCCCAGATGCCATCTTTTTTTAATCTCCCAGTGGTCCTATGGGCTGGGTGCTGAGGTCAACTGGTAAGGGGAAGCATGGGGAATCTGTGATTCCAGGGCTTCCGTCTCCTCCTCGGCCCACTCTCTGGCTGGCTGCTCCCACCCTCCTGGGACTGAGGGTCCTGGGATCCAGAAGTGCCTAGGCTTTGCTCAACCCCACCCATCACAGCCCTCACCACAGTTCCCACCATAGTGGGGACAAAGAGTTTAGCTAGAACCCAGCTCAGCACTTGCATACAGAAGGGGCCCAATCCCTGCAGGTGGTGGTGTGAATGACCTACTCACTGGCTGAATCAGGGAGAGGAGTCTCACCAGGTTGGTGTTCCAGGGATGGGCAGGCGGAGACCACTCACCAGGAGGCCTCTAACAAAGGAGCTGGCTAGTGAAAAGCCTCTTTCTTAGAACTCCTTCTTTTCCCTGAATTTCTAGTCAGAAATTCTTGGTCTTGACCTTTGAGAACCTGCTTTATACTGAGTCCCAGAGGCTTCTGTTCACAGCCTGGGGAGAGGTTAAGGCCCAGGGTAGAGCCAGAGTAGGCAGTGAGAAGACATTAAGGTACTTAGCTGACAGCGTAGGGGCCGGAGGAGCCTGGAGCAGAGGCCATGGCCCTTCCCTACTCCAGTGATGGTGGGTGGGTTAGGGGGCACCCAACTCTTGTTGGTTGAGGGCAGGAGATTCACACCAGCCTCCCAAAGTCCATCCATGTCCGCTGCCCTCTTTACAACCTCATCACCATCACCCTCCCCAGGGATCCCAACTTGCTGGAGGCCCAGCCCTACATTTGCACCAACCCTTGTAACCTTGGCCTCAGCCACTTTCAGCCTCCACTTCCCCCCTGTGATGGGGTGGACCCTGGGGTGAGGACCCCTCCATCCTGGAGGAGCTCCTGGAGAAGGCTGGGTCTGAGCTGCTTCCTTTGGTCACACAGAGCCACACTCTTCTGCGCCTCCTACTGGCAATCGAGGGAAATTGTGTCTCAAGTCATTTCCTCAGAAGCTTGCCCAGAGGCTCAGGAGGGCTCAGGTCAAGTGCTATGGAATCTAGGTGGATGCCCAAGAAGCTGGGCTGGTGTGTCCAGCACGCAGAAGTGCCAGCCCAGGCCTTCCTCTCTGCTGGCTCCTGGGCCTTAAGGACTCCTTGGACATGTTTGTGTAGGGGAGGTGTGGCTAGAGTAAAGGGATAGGGAGAGAGACCAAGTGAGAGAAACAGAAGAGAGAGGGAGAGAAAGAGGGAGACAAAGAGATATACAGAGACACACGTGAAAGCTACAGACTCCAAGAGGGAGGAACAGAAAGAGAGAACAGGGCCAGGCAAGCCAGGCTCTCACAGGGAAAAGGGCTGTGGCTTCCTGCCCCCATCTCCCGTCTCTCACTGTGGAAGAGGCAGGAAGGCCGAGCCTGAGGGGAGGGCCTCGGTGACCACGTGTGAAAACTGGAGGCTGCTCACAGAAGTGGGTTTTGTTACTTCATTTCTGGGTAAGAACCATCTGGCATCGGGTGGACTGCCTCAAAGTGTCTTTGTTTTCCTACCTGCACCCAGCATGCACTGTTGCTATGCATGCGTGTGTGTATACACATGCTTGTCAGTGGGGACCTGTGCACACACGCACATATAACTGCACATACATGTCGTATGAGTCATGCCCATGAACGTGCCTGTGCGCACCATGGCTCTGCATACACATGCACACCTGTGCATGACATGCACCCAGGTACCCACCTCTGCACAGTACACTCCACCGGCCTGCATGGCTCTGGCTCCTTTCTGGCCTTTGCCCAGGCTGGGAGATATTGTGGAGGTCATATTAACAAACACCCTTCTCCCTTCCTGCTTCTCTGATGCTTGCCAACTTCTGGGGGAAGCTTCAGAGGTCCCAAACCCCTTGAGCTTTCAAAGCCCTTTTGGGTGCCCTTCCTTGTGCCAGTGGCTGTCCCCATGTGGGTACCCCCTGGCATAGGAGCCCTATATCTTCTTCCCCAAGTCCTGGCAGCCACTCACACTTCCAACCACAGTGTTGCCTTTGCCCCCCACCCTTGCACATCTCTGACCCTTGGGTGGGGATGGCACTCAGGTTGAGGGATGCAGCTGAGCGTGGCTTCCCATCCCCCTCTTTGTCCTGGCCCTGGAGCCCTTCCTGGAGCCCGATCCAGAGGTAGCAGCAACTGGCTCCTGCCATTCTCCAGGCCCCAGAAGCCCTCTCCCTGCCTACCTGGCAGAGCCTTCACCAGGAGCACTCTTGGATCTGTTGGCTGGTTTCTAGCAACTGCTCCCGACTCATAGGGGAAAGGGAAGGAACCAGAAGGAGTTGAGGGTCTCATGCCAGGGAGTGAGGCCGGGTGGGAGCTGCTCTTCCTCTGGCCACTCTGGGTTCCACAAGCCCACGGGAAGGCCCTGTGGCCAGGGCAAGTGAGAAGCCGTTTCCCCCGGGCCTGGGGCTGGGACAGTGGCTTGTGGTGAGGGCTCTGCCCCGGCGCCAGGAGACCTGGGCTCAGTGACGTGGGACCTGGGTCGGTCAGGTTGTTTCCCTCTCTGGGCTTTCTGGCCTCCCCCACACCGAGGTGGCTGGACCAGATGACTTCTGAGGGCCTTTCAGTATCCTCTGAATCTGACGGTTCCAGCAGGACCGTAATTACTGGGGAGCCATCAACATTGGGAGGGAGCATGGCCCCCTCCACTCGCCATTATCTGAGCTCCACCATCAGGAGTGACAAACAGGCCCCATGCAGCTTGAAGAGGGGGTCCTTCTTCCGTGCAGTCACATGGCGGGGGGCAGGTGTCAGGAAGGAGGCTGCCAGAGGGGGCCCTGGCAGAAGAGAGAGAGAGGCGTTTCTGGGGCATTCAGGGCCCAGGCGTTGAGAATCACGGCTCTTGGGGCAGTATGGGCCAGCAGACATCTGTCCTGGTGGTGGTTCCTGGGTGGGTTGTTGGGACCAGCTGCAGGGCCAGGAGTAGAGGGAGGGGCCGTGCACTCTCAAAGGCACGGCCCCACCATTACTGCTCCCGGGCCAGGCCCTGAGTGGGCCCAGGCCTTAAGCTCTCAGTGGTGAAGACATCGGAATCAACCAGAAAACCAAACCCGTTGCCATCAAGTCGATTCTGAGTCGTAGCGAGCCTATATGACCCAGTAGAACTGCCTCTCAGGGTTTCTAAAGAGCGGCTGGTGGATTCGAACTGCTGACCTTTTGGTTAGCAGCTGAACTCTTAGCCACTGTGCCACCAGGGTTCCAGACATAGGAATACTGGCTTCCAATTGGAAGCCCCATCAGAGGGCAGTAGTAACTCTGTCTTAGTCGTCTAGTGCTGCTGTAACAAAAGTACCACATATGGGTGGCTTGAACAAACAGAAATTTATCTTCTCACAGTTTAGGAGGCTAGAAGTCCAAATTGAGGGTGCCAGCTCTAGGGGAAGGCTTTCTTTCCCTGTTGGCTCTGAAGGAAGGTCCTTGTCCCTGAACTTGTGCTCCTTGGCGGTCTCCATGTGGCTTGGCATCTCTCTTCCCCCATCTCTGTTTCTCACATGCTTGTTTAATCTTTTATATCTCAAAAGAGATTGATTTAAGACACACCCTACACTAATTCTGTCTCATTAACATAACAAAGAAAACTCATGCTCAAACGGGATTATAACCACTGATCTAACCATTGCCATCGAGTCGATTCCGACTCATAGAAACCCTATAGGACAGGATAGAACTGCCACATAAGGTTTCCAAGGCTGTAATCTTTATGCAAGCAGACTGCCACATCTTTCTCCTGCAGAGTGGCTAGTGGGTTGGAACCTCCAGGGCTCCTCTACCACAGACATAGGGGTTAGGATTTATAACACATATTTTGGGGGGACACAATTCAATCCATCACAGTAATCAAAGGCCATTGCCCAGCACCACAGCCACATGGTGAGGTCAGGGGAACCCTGGCGCCCTGTGGTCTGAGGGTAGGCCTCCCACTGAGATCCCCGTCTCTCTCCCTTTCTCCTCCTGCTCTGTTTGCCGTAACCTGCTGCTGGTTCCTGATCCCCAGGAGGTGGAGGTGAGTACAGCACACCCCACTCTCACCTCCTCTTCCTCCACACCCTTGCCCCGACTTCTTCCTCCCTGCTAGCATCCAACATGGGATAGGGGGAATGAGGAGCTTTTGGGAGAGGCTGCAAGGGATTCTGGACTTGGGCTTAGAGAGAGAGAGGTTGGAGGAGACAGCTGGCAGGGCCTGGGTGAACTAGGCAGCCACCAGGGTGGGGGGCAGATTTGCATGTGGGGGTGGTGGCCCAGCCCTCTCCTCTCCTTGGCCCTGGAGCTGGGCTGACCCCTCACTTGCTCTAGGGTGTGAATCCTAGCCCATCCCTCCTCTCCAACTCTGTCCTTTTCTAGGATGACTACATCAAGAGCTGGGAGGACAATCAGCAGGGAGATGAAGGTAACGTGCCCTTCCCAGGTGGGGGAAGGTGACTGGTACCCATGAGGACATGAGACCGGCAGGCAGGTCCCAACCCGGGCTTTGGGGGCTCCTTGAGCAGCCAGGCCCAGATGGGGGCGGGACTTCTGAGCTGAGGCTCTGGTTATCAAGGGCTGCTGGAGGGAGGGGCCTCCCAGGTCAGAAGTGGGGCTGGGGATTCCTGGGTTATCTGGCATTGATTCCCAGGTGACCTGTGTTCCCACCCTGCAGCCCTGGACACCACCAAGGATCCCTGCCAGAAAGTGAAGTGCAGCCGCCACAAGGTGTGCATCGCCCAGGGCTACCAGCGGGCCATGTGCATCAGCCGCAAAAAGCTGGAGCACAGGTGAGGGGCTGGGGAGCTGGGAGTCCCTGAAGGGGTTTGCCCAAAGAGTAAGGGGTTAAGTGATCCTCTCCTTCTATATTAGTTACCTACTGTTGCAAAACAAATCTTAGTTACTTCAAAACTTAGTGGCTTAAAGCACTGTATATTATCTGACATGGTTTCTGAAGGTGAAAACTCCAGGAGTGGTCCTGCTGAATGGTTCTGGCTCAGGGTCTGTCATGAGGTTACAATTAAGATGTAGACTGGGTCTGCAGTCATCTGAAGGCATGACTGGGGATGGAGGATCTGCTTCCAAGCTCACTCACCTGGCTATTGGCTGGAGGCCTTACATCCTAGTCACATGGACCCCTCCATAGGGCTGCTTGAGTGTCCTCGCAACATGGCAGCTGGCTTCCCCTGAAACGAATGATCCAAGAGAGAGAGCAAGGAGGAGCCACGATGTCTTGTATGACCTAGTCATGGAAGTCATACATCACTTCTGCCATGTTCTATTTGTTAGAAGCGAGTCACTCAGTACTGCCCACATTCTAGGGGAGGGGCATTAGCTTCATCTTTTGAAAGGAGGAGTGTCAAAGAATCTGTGAATGTAGTTTAAAACCACCACACCCTATGAGAGCAATCCCCAGACACTGTGGAACCCAAGGAAAGTCCCACCTCCTCTCTGGACCTTGATGTCCATATCTGTAAGGCAAATAGGTTGGGACCAGATAATTTGAGGTTCCTTCTAGCTCTAACATGCAATGATGTCGTGACATATTTAAGGTTGTAGTTTCTGAGACTCACAGAAGAGGGAAGGTGAGGGGCATTTGAGGAGGCCCCAGCTCCAGTCCAATGACAAGAAATTGCCTGGTTCCAAGACCCCCAGAAAAGGCTCGATTTTCCTCCCCTCTTTCCTGAATCATAGAGTCAGAGACCAGAGACTGAGGATTGCAATCTTAGATGCCAACAGGGCCCTGGCAGGTAATGTAAATGAGAGAAGAAGGCTGGGTGAAGGACGCTCTGGAGAGCGCAGGCGAGATGTCAAGAGGGGCCAGAAGGCAGGGCCAAGACGGGCAAATCTTCCACTCTCTAAGAAATGCCAGAAAGCCAGATTTTTATGTGAACTCTCCCATTTTGTAAATGTTGGCAAATAATTCAATTTAAAAAAATAGAAAAGAAAGAAAGAAAAAACAACCTTGGTGTTCAAACAAAACACTCCCCTTTATCTCTCACAGTTGGAGTTGCTACGTGCAGGCTCTGCTGAACTCAGTAACACCCTGGAAAAGAGGGACGTGGGCTGTCTGTGCCCCACCCAGTTGGTTCCACCCTTATGAGCTGGGGGAGGGTCTTGCCAGGTGGGCAGGGGGTAGGAGCCAGCTGCATCTGCTGTAGACTGCTGACACCAGCTTCTTACTGGAATGAATCTCCCAAACCCTCCTTTCTCCTGTCCCTGTCTCATTTTCACCTCCCTCCCTGTGCCTTCCCCACACTTCTCCCTCTGTAGGATCAAGCAGCCTACCCTGAAACTCCATGGAAACAAAGACACCATCTGCAAGCCCTGTCACATGGCCCAGCTCGCCTCCGTCTGCGGCTCTGATGGCCACACTTACAGCTCGGTGGTGAGGAGCTGTGGCCCCAGGTGGGATGGGGTGGACGGCACACCTGAGGCCCCAGGGAGCAGAGAGGACAACGCAGCTGGGTCTCCCGGGGGGTTCCCAGTGCCGACGTGTAGAAGGGTCACCTACAGCTCAGGCCCTGCACCCCTGCACTGGGGCTGCCCTTGGACAGGTGAGAGTAGGGGGCGGGGCCTGAGGAGACACGTGGACAGGTAACTGAAGTTCGAGTAGGTAAGGAAGGGGCTCTGGAAAGTCCTGAGGGCTATGGAAGGGAAGACCCACTGGTCTGGGGTTAAAGAAAGGACAGAGAAGCTTTCCACAGGCAGATTTCCACATGTTGGCCTGGTTTTCCCCAGCAAACACGGGCTGTTCTGGGGAAAGAGGAAAGAATCCTCTCTGAGACTGATGTGGGAGGAGCAGTGGCTGGGGGAACGATTTCTCACCTTACAAGATTTTTGTGAGGACAGTATGCATGAGACAATATCTGTGAAAAACAAAAAAACCAAACCCGGTGCTTTCGAGTTGATTCCGACTCCTGGCGATCTGTGTGTTACAGAGTAGAACTGAGCTCCATAGGGTTTTGTCCTGTGGGTGGGTTCGAGCACAGCTCTCCTCTGACGCACATGGATGGGGTCGCCATGAGTTAGAAATGACTTCAGGGCAGCTGGTAAATATTTGTGAAAGTGCTTTACAAACTTTAAAGTACCATAGAAATGCAGGTTGCAATCGTGAATGTTGTATTAGCGGCGAGGAGTTGGGAATTGCTTGTGCCGTGGAGGGCACTGTCTGTTAGGGAGCAGCCAGCTGGGTGGGGTTGGGTTCTAGGGCTTAGGAAGCCTTTTGGGGTGAGAGAGCATGAAGGCTAGGGCAGAAGCTACATTTAGAAACCAAAAAAACACAGTTGCCGTCGAGTCGCTTCCAACTCACAGCGACCCCGTGTGTGCAGAGTAGAACTTCCCCATAGGGTTTTCTAGGCTGTGACCTTTTGGAAGCAGATCTCCAGGCCTTTCTTCCAAGGTGCCCCTCGGTGTGTTCAAACTACTAAATCTTCGGTTAGTAGTTGAGCGCTTAATCGTTTGCACCACCACGGGACTCCAAGCGACATTTAGGAGGGATAAAAAGGAGACGGAGGCAGAGCCGACAGACGGAGAAGGAGAAGGGGGATGCTGTGTCACACCACACAGCGAGGGAAGGGGGGCTTTGGGCTGAGCTTGTGGTCCGAGGGTCATGGCGGCTGTCGTGCAGGGAGGTGAAGAATCACAGGAATAGGGGAGCTTCTTTCAGAAGCTGGCTGCAGCAGAAGTGTCTCCTAGTGAAGGCTGGGGAACGGGTGAATGTTCAGTAGACGGTTGTTGTTGTTGTTAGGTGCCATCGAGTCACTTCCGACTCATAGTGACCCCATAGGACAGAGTAGAACTGCCCCATGGGGTTTGCAAGGAGCAGCTGGTGGATTCGAACTGCCAGCCCTTTTCGGTTAGCAGCCCAGCTCTTAACCACTGCACCACAAGGGCTCCCACTGGACAGTGGCTGTTTGTTATTAAGAGAACTGAGAAAAGCCTGCTGAAGGTGATTGTAGGAGGTCACTGAGGGAGGGTTCCAGAAGGGAGGGGCCACAGCAGATTACACAAGGATGTAAGGGAACGTGGTGAGAAGAAGGATCAGCCCTGAAGGCCGTGGGTTGCTGGGGTGATGGGGAGTTGGGTGTCCTGGGAAAGAAAAGTATTCAGAGAGAGTAGGCAGGTGCAAGTGGGGTTCCGGGGCACTTCGACAGCAAGGACTGTTCCCTGGCCCCTCTTCCTGGCTCTCCTGCCCCTTACCACTGTGCACTGTGGTCTGCAGAGGGTGGAAGGGCTGTCTTTGAGGCTGTTCACGGGCACTTCCCTCTTGTCTCCATCGGAGAGACAGATGAAGCTGCCGTGGTAGGTCCGAGGGTGCCCAGCCGTGGGACCCAGCCGGCCTCTCTTCTTCTGCAGTGTAAGCTGGAACAGCAGGCGTGCCTGAGCAGCAAGCAGCTGGTAGTGAGATGCGAGGGCCCTTGCCCCTGCCCCACGGAGCAGGCTGCCGCCTCCACCACTGATGGCAAACCAGGTAGAGAAGAGCGAGTGTGGGCCGCAGCCAGCTGGGGTGGGGCCTCCTTCAGGGCCCGGGAATGCCAAGAGAGTTCTGCAGGGACAAGTGGGCAAAACAGGGAAAGGCCTGAGGGACCTGTGGGCCCGGGGGGCCTGGCTAACACAGAGCAGGAGGGCTTGGGCCTCTGCCTCAGTTCTTCTCCCTGGGTGTCTGGAAGGTGGGCAGAGGGCAGGGACTCAGCCACAGGAAGCTGGAGCTGTGTGTTTTTAGAGCTAGGAAGGAGGATGGGAGAGGATGCATCTGAGTTCTAACTTCCCTCACTGCATTGTGTCCCTGACCACTGCACAGCCTCCTGGACGGGGGGCAGCACCCCAGGCTGAGGTCAGGCTTGTTGCTTCACTCCACATTCACCCTCCACCCTCTTGTCCCTGTTCTGCCACCTGCAGAGACCTGCACGGGTCAGGACCTGGCAGACCTGGGGGATCGGCTGCGGGACTGGTTTCAGCTCCTTCATGAGAACTCCAAGCAGAACAGCTCCAGCAGCGGAGCCAGCCCCACCACTGGTACAGGAGCTGGGTGCTCTGCCTGGGAAGATGGAGGGAGGGGGTAGGGGGAAGGGGAGACACCTGTGCACTGGGGCCCACCCACTCTGAGCTCCCTCCTGCCAGACTCTCGGCCCATAAAGAGTCCAGCCCCAGAAGAAGGGAAGTAGACCTCAACTGCAGAAGGAGAGATATGGGTTAGCTATTAGGAAGAACTTGTTAAGATGGTGGAGGACGCTGAAACTCTGAAATGTAGTCAAGGGAAGGGAAGGAGCTATTTTCCCGGAAGGCCTTTCAAGGCAGAGTTTCCAATTGCTTAGGTACAGTCCTATCTAGAGGTAGAGAGATAGGCCTTTGGCCATTCTTGAGTTTCTAAACCCCATGGTAGATTCAGAGCCGCCCTGACCTTGAACAGAGCCTTGGAGCTAACAGAGAGATGGGAGGATGGAGGGGCAGATGGACAGAGCAGTTTACCTTGATCTTGTCTGAGCCCTGGTCTTCTCCCCAGGGTTGGACAAGAGTCTGGGGGCCAGCTGTAAGGACTCCATTGGCTGGATGTTCTCCAAGCTGGACACCAGTGCCGACCTCTTCCTGGACCAGATGGAGCTGGCTGCCATCAATCTGGACAAGTACGAGGTCTGCATCCGTCCCTTCTTCAACTCCTGCGACACCTACAAGGATGGCCGGGTCTCCACTGCTGAGTGGTGCTTCTGCTTCTGGAGGGAGAGTGAGTGTGGCCCCTCGCCGGGCTGCCCCCAGCCCTCCCGTGTGGGCTCTGCCTCTATTCCAGGCAGCAGCCATAAGAACTAACAAGAGGGGAGAAAGACCCAAAGTCAGAGAGGTTCCCTCTTGGCCACCTGCCCAGGCCCAGCACTGCCTGGCTTGACCACCTGGTACTCTCTCAACATCTCATCTCTTAGCACCCAGGGAGGCCAGCACTTTTAACTCCCTTTCTTGGCAAGCTCCCAGGTGGATCCAGGTTTTGTGGGCCATGAAGCTTATGCACTTTTAAATTAAGAAAGAATATTAAAAACTACAAATGTAAAATTTCTAGGGCCCTTTGGGAGCCTTGGAAGGGGTTGTGTAACTGAGGGGCCCTGAAGCTGAAGCAACACGAGCTTCTCAGAGATCTCACTTCTGGGCCCAGCTCACATTCTTTGCCCCAGAGAAGTGATCATGTCGGCTATCATTAGCGTTAGAGATGTGAAGTCACTTGTTAGCTGTGTAAACCTCAGACCAGAGCCAGCCTTGGGCTTAGAGATCATCTGGACCAAGCAGCAATGTCCTTGGTGGGGAAAATGAGGTCCTGAGGGGTCAGCCGACCAGCCTGGAGTGGGGTCGGCCCTGGTGTCCTGCCTTACTGACTGCCCCGCTGTCAGGTGGGCTTGGGCTCCACCATATGCTAATTTGGGATCCTGGGCAAGTCACCGAATCTTCAGTTTCTTCATCTGAGTTGGGAGATAATACCTTCCTCGAAGACCGTGTGAGGATGACGTGAGACTGTCTATGTGCAGAGCACTATGTACATCACAAATCCCTCGCAAACGTGAAGTGTTTTGATCAGCAGCCCCTAACTGCCCAACCTTCCTGTTGCCTGCATTGTGCCAGCACTTTTACCCTCAAGGCCTTTGAAGCACATTTCATTCATTCTGTACACTGGTCTCCTTTGGGCAGGAGGCCGGGACTTGTTATCACTGGATAGTCAGGCAGGCCTCCAGCCTGGGGGCCAGGGGCTTCCCAAGGTCATAGCCAAGTTCAAGGTTTTGCTGCTGGTTATTTCTAGGCCCAGGAGTTCTGTCCAACATTCCCCTGGGGCCTCTTGCCCTGGGGTATTGTGCAGTCACCCACCTTGTCTGGATTCTGGTTACTTACCCCACGGGTCGCCAGCACTCTCAGGGAGCCCAGGGCACTGGGTCTTGGGAGCCCTCAGCCCATCCCACAGCGATGTGGGTGGCTTCACCTAGTTGGAGGTTGGTGTTCCATCCCGCAGAGCCCTGCCCAGACTTTTGGGACCTGAGAGGGCCAGGTGCTTCCCAACACCAGCCTGGGGCACCCTGTATCAGACCCTGGGTGTATCATCTTGCAGAGACCCTGCCTGGTTTCTAAGCTTTGGGGGGCTCCATGCACCCCACCAGCACCAAGGAATAGCCTGTCAGAGGCTGCTTCTCTCTACAGAGCCCCCCTGCCTGGCGGAGCTGGAGCGCATCCAGATCCAGGAAGCTGCCAAGAAGAAGCCAGGTGAGGGGTCCTGGGTGGGGTGCTCAGAGGAGCAGGCAGGGAGGCGTGCCTGAGGGTGCCTAGGAAGACAGGATAGGGAAACTTTCTCTTGGGTTTTATCCTTGTGGTGAGGCAGGATCTCCCAAGTAGTCCTTCGAAAAGTGTGTTTTAAGCACTAATTTGGTGCCCAGCCATGCCAGGCTCGGGGTTGGGATACAGAAGGAACCTAGAACCTTGCATTCAAGTACTTACTGTGCCCTGCTCGTGGGCAGAGCTCAAGCCAGGCCCCTCCACAGGCAGATGCTCAGTCATGTGGTCAGGAGACACTTGAGTGCCAGCCCTGGAGAGACGCAGCAGGAAGCCCAGCCGGCAGAGTGACAGGCAGGGCAGACTCATTCCCACCCTCACTGAGTGCATGGGCTGGCGGGGGAAACACCCATACAGAGAAATACAGATGGCCCACTGGGACGTGCGTGGAGGAGAAGGGCAGGTGCTGGGGGACAGGACAAGGGGGTCTAGTTAGTCTAAGGGGTCAGCGAAGGCCCCTCTGAGGAGCCTAGCACTCAAGGAGAGACATGATGGGTGAAAATGAGACAGCCAAGGGCAGAGCCAAGGGCGGGAGAAAGTGTGAAGTTCTTGGGGAACAGAGAAAAGGGTCCAAGGTTGATGGACAGAGGGGTGTGGGAGTCCAGATCATGCAGGGCCTTCGGAGTCCTTGAGAACAGCCTGGCATTTAGCAGGGACAACGAGACCAGCACACATGAAACCCAGCACTAACTGCTCTGCGGTGCCATGTGGACTGTGAGCCCCGTGTCCTCGAGGAAACTGCCATGCCCCTCCCCCTGGAAGCAATCCTCTCCTCCATATTCCCCAAGCTTATTCCTGTGCCTTATGGCACCCATCCTCACCTAACATCGTTCAGGTGTCCGTGTGTATCCCAGGAGTCCCTGGACGTTGCAAATGTTCTCGGCTGCTCACTGAAAGTTTGGAGGTTCAAGTTCACCCAGAGGCACCTTGGAAGAAAGGCCTGGCGATCTACGTCTGAAAAATCAGCCACTGAAAACCCCATGGAACACAGTTCTATTCTGACACACGTGGGGTCGCCATGGGTTGGAGTCCACTCATGGGCAACTGGCTTTTTTATGTGTGTCACATCCCCCTACACCTGGTCCGGGAGTGTTGATCTCGGAAGATGCCTGGTGACCGGAGGGAGGAGTAGCAGCAGGTTGAGGCCTGAGGAAGGTGGGGTGGGCCTGAGGCAGGTTAGATTCAGAGGGGCTGAGGAGAGAGGACTGGGTGTTCAGCCAAACGGTGGTGCAGTGGTGGGATCAGGGGCGTCAGACAGGAGATCACACTGGCTGTCCTAGAGCACCTGGGCCGAGATCGAGGAAGCTGAAGGGAAAGGAGCTCCCACGGAGAGGCAGCATGACGGGCCCCTGCAGGCCATTTGGTGAAGGGGTTTCCTCGCCTCCAGTGTGTGGGCCCTACATGGTCAGCACCTGGAGTGGCTGCGCACTGTGGCATGGACAGCTTGTACCCGAGCTCCTGGGCCGCCCTGGAAGGGCCCACGGCCGGGGCGCTGCTCTGACCCTGCTGGGCGTGCCCCCTCAGGAGTCTTCATCCCGAGCTGTGACGAGGATGGCTACTACCGGAAGACGCAGTGTGACCCAAGCGGCGACTGCTGGTGCGTGGACCAGCTGGGCGTGGAGCTGACAGGCAGTCGCACGCATGGGAGCCCCGACTGCGGTAAGGGCCGCCGGGGCCTGAGTCTGTGGAGGCCCCTGTGGGCCTTGTCTCGGGGGGTGGGGGTCCCGGCTGAGTAGGAGGAGAGGGGGTGAGCCAGCTCCTAACCTGCCTCTTGGCCCGTCCACATCACAGACGACATCGTGGGCTTCTCGGGGGACTTTGGGAGCGGCGTCGGCTGGGAGGACGAGGAGGAGAAGGACACAGAGGAAGCCGGCGAGGAGGCCGAGGAGGAGGAAGGAGAGGCGGGTGAGGCCGATGACGGAGGCTACATCTGGTAGATGGCTGCGGGGAGCCGGGCAGGCCAGGGCGCCGATGGCCGGGGGAGACGGGCCGGCAGAGACCTGGACAGATGCAGGCAGCCTAGTGAACGGAACCAGAAAATGCAGTGGAAGGACCTGCCTCCAATGGGCAGACTGGACGTGTGAGTGTGCATGGCATGTGTGAGTCACGTGTGTCTGGGTGTGTGACTGTGTGTGCTTGAGTGTATGCGCGCGTGTGTGCGCGTGCGGCATGCGCTGACGTGTCCTTGGCCCACACTGCTCCTGGCAGAGAGCCACCCAGAAGCCCCCTTGGTCTCCACGTGCTGTTTCCCTTCCATTAGTCATTGGTTTCAGAATACACACATTTGTAGCCATACACTCACCACAAGGTCAAAACTGATGAAATGAGATGCCCCCAGTCACGGCTGCTAACTGAGTCCAGCCCCACCTGACACCCTGGGGTTCCTTGATCTGATTTGCTGTGGCTCTACAGCCCCGCCTCCCCTTGTCCATGCCTGCCCTTCTCCCTCCTCCTTTGGGGTCCAGCTCTGGCCTGAGGGAGTGTCCCCGCTGCAGGGAGTTCTCTGCTGGCTGGGTGTCCTCCCAGGCTGGGCCGATGGGCCTGTGACATCCCTACCCGCCTCAGATGAGACGCGCAAGGACACCCAGCCACAGCAAGCCTCTTCCCTGTGCTGGATTCCCGAGCACTAGTGAAACCGTCCTATCCCAAGCCAGTGTGACCACAGGTGCCGAGAAGGCGAGAAGGTGCTGGGAACAGCAGCTGAGAGGCGGGGGGAGGGGAAGGCCCGGCTGTGTGAGGTCCCTGTCGAGAGAGAGAGGGTGGAGTAGGGGGGAAAGGAGGAGGGGCCGGCTCAGCAGGCAGATCCACGGTTGCAGGTACTGTGTGGAGTTTTTAGAAGTGGAGGTGGGGGCAGCCCTGGATGCCACACCCAGGGATCGCCCAGCCCCTCTCTGTGTTAGAGATTGATTTGGGGTTTTGGGTGGGGGTGCTGGACTAGGGCTGGTCTTTTGGAGGGGAATGGGCAAGGGTTGTGCAGATGACCATTTGGCTTCCATGTGGTGTATCTGTGGGGTGCTGCTCCTTCTTCTGCTCCCTTGCTGGGGTCCCCTTGTCTACTCTAGGGAGTCTGAGGATCAGAAACAGCAGGTGAGGGGCCTGGGTCTTGGCTAGGGGTTTGTCTGTGTCCATTTCTCCCTGACCCCTTAACTAAACGCATCTCTCCCTCCCAGACTCATGAGAAGGGCTGTCCCTGAGACCCCTTAACAGAGCAGTTGAGAGCTGCAGCCTTCCTGCTCTGGAGCCCATCATCTCTCTCCATCTTCCTCTTTCTCAAGGGAGAGGCTCCAGTAGCCATTGCCAACCCCCCATCTCAGCCCTCGGGGTCTCCCTCTCTCCGCTCTGAAGCTCCCTAGGACTGCTCTCATGATGGGGTTCCCCAGCTCTGTTTTGAAGCTGTGTAGTGTTTGGAAGTAGTGACAGGTCAGAGGGGACAAGACTGAGAGCAGCTGGGCTCTGAAGCCACACCTCACTGTTCTCCCAAATCTTACCAGATGGGAGCCAGGTTTGATGAGAAGGGGCCCGTTCGTTTGTTTGTTTGTTTTCCTTGTATGTCCAACTCTTCCTTTGAGGCAAATTCCTGAACAACTTTGGTGAAAGATTTCTTACCTGGACTTGGCCTCCTGATACCCTTCTGGGTGTAGTGAGCACTCTGTGTGTGTGTGTGTGAGTGTGTGTGTGCATGTGTGTGTGCACCTGGGGGCCATCCCAAGTGGCCTGTGAGTGTGCGGTGGGACACCCTGTAGGCTGATGAGCAGCTGTGTGGGTGGGGTGTGGGGTGTGGGGGTCAGTGTGATGAGGCTTCCTGGGCAAGGATCACAGCCTGGCTCCCCCAAACGTCTCCCAGCTTCCGCCGGCATCTTCCGGACTATGGAACAACCAGACCCTGCCCGCCCCTTTGGTTCCACCCTGGAATCAACACCTTCCCAGTTCTCTTTTGGGGGAAACGATGCAGCTCCAGTTAGCCCCATAAACTGCTTCTGCTTCCGCAGCCCAGTTCTGACTGCCACGGTGTCCCGCTGTTCCAGATCCTCCTCACTGCCCTCCTTGCCCCTTCCCTGTACTCACGCTTCCCTCCTCTGGCCCCTGGCTCCTTCAGGGAAACGCTGTTTCATGTCAGCCCTCTGCTCTCTGGAGCAGCCCGCTCCACTATGCTGAGCTACAGGAAACTTCCTGCTCTTGCTAGGATGGGAGTCTGTCTGTCTCTTTTTTCCCTCTGCCCCAACTTGACTTCTAGAACTGTTACGGGGCAGCTGCGGAGGATGCTGGGGCGTCCTGGGTGGGGGGAGGTGTAGAGGAAGGGCACCCTAGTGCTCTCACTGCCCTCCGCCCCGGGGCGTGTGTGCTCTCTCTGTCTCTGGGTCTTCTAATTGTGCACGTTTATATGACCTTGTAAATCTGTGTTAGGAAGAAAGTGAAAGGCGCTGAACTAGACCCTGGTGGGGCAGCTCACCCCAATCTCTGAACCCCCACGTTGCTCTCCCCCCACTCCGAGACCAAGGCCACCCCCAAAGTTAGACACAAGCAACTGTTCCTCCAAGTCACTTTTCGGCAGATGAGCTTAAGGTGTCCTCACGAAGGTTGCAGGTCGGTTCTCCCTCAGCAGTTGGACTCAGGCCCTTGACCTAGCGGCCTGCGCCTCCCCCCATGCTCCCTGCACTGATGCCCTCTCTCAGGCAGGCAGGGGAATTAGGGCTGCATGGAAAAAGAGCTCAACCAAATCTTACAGTACAGTTTCTTGGCTGGCCCCAGAGCTGCCCCTGGCTGCCCCAGGCCTCCCCTGGTCCACAGGTGCTGGGAGAGGCGGGCGTGTCTAAGACAGAGTCTGGTTGGGGTTGAGAAAATAAATGTGCCTTGAGGGACCACTCAGAGAGACCCCCAAGGGTGCTGGGGGAAGGAGGCTTGGCATGAGAGCTCAGGAAGGCGGAGGAGGGAGGCGAAGCTGATAATGGCATGAGGGACATTGTGACTGCCCCGTGTCCCAACAGTGGTCACACTTCCTCCCCGCCCCATTCAGCCCTTCATGATCTCTATCTGCTTCCTACTTCACCTCTGAGTGGCCCATTGGTGTCAACATCAGAACCCTCCATTTCACCAAAGCTCTGAGCCCTTGGCCCTTGGGGAGAAGGAATGGCTGACCTTTGACCCTTGGAGTCCTTGTCAGGCTGTGGGCAGGCAGGGGTCAAAAGGAAGAGACATTGGGGGTGCAAAACGAGACTGGAGACATCCCAAGGAAGTCCCAAGCAGAGCAAGCTGCTTTCTAGCCTGAAGCCTACTTAAACCGTGTTATGTGCAATAACTGAGCTTAGAGTTAAGAATTGTGTTCAAGTGCTTGGATTTCCGTCTGTATATTTAAGTGCTGAAATCGTATCTCTCAGTAATTTTAGCTGTCTTAAAAAAATCGAAAAACAAAGTGTTAGACCGTGTGTGTGCATTGATGGGCACTCAAGCGTCCTGTGGATCGCCCTGACCCTCTCCCTTTTCCCCTGCACCCCCACCCCACGCTCCATCCACGCCTCCACTTGGGGACCCCACCTTATGTTGTCTTATCTGCCTATTACTCAGCCTAGAAAACAAGTACACTTCACACATGCATAAAGGAAATCAAATGTTATTTTTAAGAAAATGGAAAATAAAAACTTTATAAACACCACCTGCTGTCAAGATTCTGATTTGTCCTCCTCTTGGTGTTATTTTTCGAAAAATGGCCTTCGCAAATGAGGTCCTGTGGACAGTCAAGGCATATTTCTCCTATTTGCCTTCATGTGTGAGACCTGGGAGAGGGAGGGGTGGGAGGAGAGGCCCGATTTAGCAAGGGGAGGACCAGGAACAACCTAGACATAGTTTTGGTATAACTGAAAACATGTATGCAATCCCTAAGGAGGCCTGGCAGTCTACTTCCAAAAAATTAGCCATTGAAAACTCTATGGAGCACAGTTCTACAGACACACATGGGGTCACCATGAGTTGGAGTGGACTCAATAACAACCTTTTTAAAAAAAAAAAAAAAATCACTTACCATACAATTCACCCCATTTAAAGTGCACAATTTAACAGCTTTTTAGTATATTTTCAGAGTTGTGCAACCATCACCACAATTTTAAAACATTTTAATTACCCCCAAAAGAAACCCTGTACCCCTGAACTGTCATCCCTCCAGCCCCTCCAGCCCCCCGAGCCCTAGATAACCACAAATCTTCTTTATGTCTCTATGGATTTGCCTTTTCTGAACATTCATATAAATGGAATCGTACAGTCTGTGACCATACTGGCTTCTCTCACCTGGTATAACGTGAAAGTATGATTTTAATAGCTGCGCAATATTCCACAATGTACACATGCTGTAATGAATTTAACCGTTTCCCTATTTTTGGACTTTATGTTGTGTCTAATTTCTTGATATAAATCATGTTGTGATGAAGCATTGGGCTAATCTGCTGCAGAAGACGTCTTTCAAGTGTTGAAAAGCGAAGATGTCACCTTGAAGATGAAGGTGCGCCTGACCCAAGCCATGGTGTTTTCAACTGCCTGATATGCATGTGAAAGCTGGACAATGAATAAGGAAGACCAAAGAAGAATTGATGTCTTTGAATTGTGGTGTTGGTGAAGAATATTGAATATACCATGGACTGCCAAAAGAACGACCAAATCTGTCTTGGAAGAAGTACAACCAGAATGCTCCTTAGAAGCAAGGATGGTGAGACTACATCGTACATACTCTGGACATGTTATCAGGAGGGACCAGTCCCTGGAGAAGTACATCATGCTTGGTAGAGGGTCATCGAAAAAGAGGAAGACCCTCAACGAGATGGATTGACACAGCGTCTCCAACAATCGGCCCAAGCCTAAGAATTGTGAGGATGGCGCAAGACCGGGCAGTGTTCTGTTCTGTTGTACGTAGAGTTGCTATGAGTCGGATCCGATTGGATGGCACCTAACAACAACAACAACAACTATTTTTGGACTTTTATGTTGTGTCTAATTTCTTGATATAAATAATGCTGTGATGAACATCCTGTACGTACTCCTTGGGGCCCACTTTAATTTCCCCAGCAGATTGCTAGAAGTAGAATGGCTGGGTTAAGTCCTACAGGGTTTTAAAACACTTTAATTACATCTTACCAAATTGCATCTCAGAAAGGTTATACCAATAGACATCCCCGTCAGCAGGGAAAGCAAGTACCAGGCTCCTTGTATGTTTGCCAGAATTATGAATTATAATTTTTAAAAAGCTTTACCAGTTTGACAGAAGAATAACCATGTCTCTTGTTTTTTTTTCCACTTCTTTTATCAGAGGTAGGCGTAGGGACTGTTGTCATGGACAGTATTTTGTGACTTTTCTGCGCATAGACCTTGCCCATCCGCCCACCACACACACACTAGACGGCGTCTTCCTTTTGTATGTGGGTGTGTGCGGAATCATAGATCTAAACTAGCCCTAGAACTTGCTGACTGTGACCTTGAGTAAGTCATCTGACAGTTGGAGAGAACAGCCCATCCCAGAAGAATCAATTATTATCATCTGCCGCAGTCTTTTCTAAACATTATAAATATTTAGTTCCACCCGCAGTACCATCCACAATCTGGGCAGGCTCTGCTAGCAGGCTGAGGTGGATCCTAAGGAAGGTGGGCTATCCCCTGGGGGGTGGGAGGAGGCAAGGGGTGGTTTCCCACCCTTCTTTGTCTCTCACTGCCACCCAGTCTCAAACTTGGAGGCTTACGAGTCTTCCTAAAAGGAAGTGTGAGGAGGGCTGTGATTTGCCAAGGAGCTGCTCCCAGCACCCAGGAGGAGGGAGAAAGCGGGTGGAGACTGGTTGGCTTGCTGCGCTTGGGGGAACCCGTGGTTTGGGACATGGAAGAGACATGGGAGGGTGAGGTTGGAATCAGTCTTTCAGTTAACTCTCTGGTATGATGAGCTTATTTGTACTATGTATACAAAGCCTTACTATTTATTTAGAAATAATAGTACTAACAACTATATAATACTTACCATATGTAAGAGCCAGTGCCAAGAAATCACCTTACATTAGCCCATGGGGTAGGTACTACTATTCCTCCAGAAAGCCCTCCTGGACTTACTGCAATGCAAGTGACCCACCCTCTCTGAGCGCCTGTGGAGCTTATGATGAGCACAGTCATCCAGCACTGATCACAGCTGGCTTTGTTTTGGGCAGTAGATATGGAGCAGAATCCAGGCCTTGCCTCTCACTGGCTGTGCATCCTTGGTCAAGTTACTGAACCTCTCTGAGACTCAGATTCTTCATATGTTTTGTTTTGTTTATTTTTAAATTTATAATTTTGAAATAAACTTTTCCTTTTAGAATAGCTTTAGATTTACAGAAAAGTTGCAAAGCTAATAGAGGGAGTTCCCATACACCTCATACCCAGTTCCCTATTATTAACATCTTACATTGGCATGGTACATTTGTCACAGTTAATGAACCAATATTGATACGTTAGGATTAACTGAATCCATGCTTTACTCAGATTTCCTTCGTTTTTAGCTGATGTCCTAATGTCCCTTTTCTGTTCCAGGAACCCTTCCAGAGAACTATGTTACATTTAGACCTTATGTCTCCTCAGGCTCCTTTTGGCTGTCAGTTTTTCAGACTTTCCTTAATTTTTAATATATTAACCTTATATCCTACAACCCTAAGCAGTGACCAGTTGCCGTTGAGTCAGCTCCAACTCATGGCAACTGCACATATGTCAGAGTAGAACTGTGCTCCATAGGGCTT